GTCGTTTCACAGGGAGCGTGTTCACATACATTTGCTATGGAAAGATATTTTCATTGGAATTTAAGTCCATATGGAATACTAGGCTAGCAGTTTTCCATTCATACCTTGAATTCTTTTGACTCGGGTGATGTCCTATGAGAATTCGGCTGTAATTTTTTCTTATCTTTTTTTTTCTGTGTGTGTGTATGTGTGTGTGGTGTTGAGCATTGAAGTCAGGACTTAGCACAGAGCTACTTCCCCAGCTCGTCTTGTGTTTTATTTTGACAGTCTCACTAGGTCGCTGAGGCTAGCCTTGAACTTGCGATCCTCCTGCTTCAGCCTCCTGAGTAGCTGGGATTACAGGCGTGTACCACTACATCCAGTTAATTTTTTCTCTACTTCTTTGTTTGTAGTTTCTATTTTTCTCTCACTGGTTTTAATATTTTCTCTTTGTCACTGGAGTTCAATTATTTGATTTCAATTATTTGATGTGTCTGTATGGGGAGGTGTGTGTAAGAGAGAGACAGAAGAGAGAGGTTATCCTGTTTAGAATTAATCAAATATCTTGGATCTGTGGATTTATAGTTTTTATCAAATTTGTGAAAACTCAACCCAGTACTTATGTAAATGTATTTTTCTGTTTCTCTTCTCTCTGATTGTCACACATTGGGAATTTGCTATGGCTGACTGCTTGGTTTTGTGGTATTCCTTTAGAGAGCACCAGTCTTTTTTCTTGAAAGCAGTTATTTGCATGATAGGCTAGTCTTTTACGTCTCTTTAATTTTTAGCTTTTCTTATGATAGGTCTAACTGTCTTATTCTAGGACTAATGAAGTCTCATTTAAATGCTATGGCTCTTTTGGACTTTTTATTGAATCTATGTTCAAAGAGATATTCTCATTCTGAGAATCCAGAAATAAACCCATCACTGATTTTCAATAAGGGTACAAACTATTGAATGGAAAATATAATCTCTTTTAAAAAATAGTGCTGGGACAACTAGACAGACACATAAATAGAAATGAAATTGGAGCCAGGTGCAGTGGCACACACTTGTAATCTCAGTGACTCTGGAGGCTGAGGCAGGAGGATCACAAGTTCGAGCTAGTCTCAGCCACTTAGCAAGGCCCTAAGAAACTTAGTAAGACCCGATCTCAAAATAAAAATAAAAAGGGCTGGGCATGTGGTTCAGTGTTAAAGAACCCCTGGGTTCAATCCCCAGTACAAAAAAAAAAAATTCCAAGGCTAGCCTTAAATTTAAAAAAATATATATATTAAAAAAATTAAAAAGGCTGGAGATGTACCTCAATGGCATGTGCCCCTGGGTTAATCTCTGCTAAAAAAAAAAATGAATTTGGACCTCTTCTACAAGACATATATAAGAATCAAATCCAAAAATGGATGAATTACCTAGATATGTGTCAAAATTGAAAAGAAAACAGAATGGTGTATCTTTCTCACCTTTGATTCAGATTTCTTAAATATGTCAAAAAAAATAATCAACAAAGGAAAAATAGATGACTTGGACTTCATCAAAATTTAAACTCTTATTCAAAAGGACATGTTAAGTGAAAAGAATGGGAGTGGATGTTCATACAGCATGTGCAGCATCTGAAGGGCCTAGCATCTAGAATGTATAAAGAACTCTTACAACTTAACAAATAGACAAAGTCCCACCTTAAGAATGGGCAAAGGACGTTCCCAGCAGCTTGGGAGGCTGATGCAGGAGGATTGCAAGTTGAAGGCCAGCCCAGCGACTCACAGAGCATTTGTGGATGGTGGCCCTAGACTAGTGCGAGATGGTGGCCCTGGGCCCCCCGCGAGCAAAGCTGTGAAGCCCTCCAAGAAGGGACGAGTGGCTGACAGAGCGTGACCAAGCCTCCTGAGTGGGAGGCCCCCAGGAGACACGGGAATGGTTTCAACAGTCTGCAGGTCTCTGGAGATCTGAGTGTCGGGCGGGAGGGACTGGGCTAGGATGGAGAGTAAGGGAAGAAGGACGATCCTCAGGGAAGTTCTCCTGCGAAAAGAAGAGGGTAGCTGAGGTTTCAGAGGAAGGACAAGAGCTGATGGTCTCCACCTCCAGGAGCCCTGGGCAACTGCCTGCGGACCCGGGAGGGCCGGCCGCCCACCCTCTGCTGTGGTTTGCTCAGCCCCGAGACCTGCCAGGCTCCAGGCTGCCTTCGCCTGCTCGCCTCCACACGTGTGGAACTGAAAGCTGTCAAATCAAAACAGAGCCACTTGTGCACAGCCCTGGTGACAACAAACAAACCGACCTGTGAGGTCATGAAGGAGGGGGTCGGCCTGACACACCTGAGCCTGCTAACAAGGACTGTCACCCGGACTCTGCCACGACCGCGGCCCTGTGCAAGGCCACAGAAACCCTGACAGAAAGCACTTGGCAGCTCATGGCAGCCCTGGTCTGTGGTCCCAGCTCCTGGGAGGCTGAGGCAGGAGGAGTGTAAGCTCGAGGCCAGCCTGGGCAGCTTCATGGGCCCCCGCCTCAAAATACAAAATAAAGAAGGGCTGGGATGTGGCTCAATGGGAGGGCGCCCCTGGGCTCAGTTCTCAGTGTGAGAAAGAGAAGAGACTTTCTGCAGGGAATGTGGCCAACAAGGTTTGGGCTCAGAGGTCTTTCAAAATACCCTCCTTTAGCAGCTCCTTCTGCTCCACAGCTCCCTCTTCCTGGCCTCCCTGAAGACTGTGCGTTCACTCAAGCAGGTCCCGTTGCAAGGCAGCTCCCAATTAAACGTCTTCGTCTTTGGAGAATCCCTCTGTTATTTAGGTGGACAGGGATTCCATCTGGGGTTCAAAGTGAGACCTATTCCAAGGGCATCCACCCTCTCAAGTGGTGAGGGCCTGGAGAGGCCTGGGAGTTGACAAATGGCCTCTTTCAACCCCAAGGTGGCAGAGTGCCCCCCTTCCTTCTCTGACTCCCGAAGCAGGATGGAACAGTGTCCAGGGAAACCCACGGAGGGTGGGCTTTGACCCTCCCCAATTGCTGCCCGCTAGTCCCGTGGAGGTATAGAAAGGCTCGAGGCAGGGTGGGCTGCTTCAGTGGAGGCTCAGAGGTCTACCTTTGGGACAGCACCCAGGCATCCTTCCCTCCCTCTCACCTGGGTCCTTTCTGTGGGGCCTGTCAAGAGGAGGAGGTGATGTCCCCCAACATGAGGGCTGTCCCAGGAGAAGACGCCTGATTTGCCTCTGAGAAGATCCAGGTTGGGATTTGGGGACCCGGGGATCAGAGTGAAGGTGGAAGGGGGTTGTAACTAGTTGAACTATGACACCCCCAAACTCACACGTTGAGGTCTTAGCCCCCAAAACCTCAGAATGTGACTCTATTTGGAGACAGGGTCTTCAGGCAGGTGATTCAGTTAAAATGAGGTCACTAGGGTGGGCCTTGTCCAGTACGACTGGTGTCTTTGTAAAACAAGACGAGGTCACAGACACTCAGGACCACGGGAGGACCCAGGGAGAAAATCCACCTACAGGCCAAGAAGAGAGGCCGCAGAAGAGGCCAGCCCTGCCCACACTCTGGGCTCGGACTGCCAACCCCAGACGTGAGGAAACAGATGTCCACCGTCTCAGCCCTCCACCTGTGGTACAGCCACCCTTGGTATCCAGGGGAAGTGGGTTCCAGGGCCACCCTAACAGAACCTGAATGATGTTGTAGGTGTCCTACTCTATTGTTTAGGGAATAATGACAGGGGCAAGAAATCAGTACATACTTGGGATAGACACAAAGATTTCTAGTACTTTCTTTCATCGATTGGTTGAATCCATGGATGCGGAACCTGTACCCAAGGGAGGGTGAAATATACTAGGTTGCAGCAGCTTGAGCAGAACAGAAACAGGCACAGGCAGGGACACCAAAGGTCACCTTCTCCAGGAGACTCCTCCTGACTTCCCTCCACCAGAAAGAAATGACCACACCCTCTCCAGGGTCCCTTCATGCAGGCTGGCCCCTGCACTCCCTGCATTCTGAGAACCCTCAGTGCTTTTCTGTTCTTAAGAATCTTCATCTACAGCTGGACACTGCGGTGCATACCTGTAATCTCAGTTGCTGGGGAGGCTGAGGTAGGAGGATCGCAAGTTTGAGGCCAGCCTCAGTAACTTAGTGAGACCTTGTCTCAGAAAAAAATAAATAAAAAGGGCTGGGAATGTAAGTCACTGGTAGAGCACTCCTGGGTTCAATTTCCAGTATAGAAGAAGAAGGAGGAGGAGGAGGAAGAGGGGGAGGAGAAGAAGAAGAATTTGTGTTTACCAAACCCTTGTGGGGTTTTCCCGTGTGTCCCCACATGCAGCACAGTGTCTGGCATGAGGTGCATGGCGGCTGGGTGGATAAGCCTCGGGTCTCTGCGTGGCCCAAACAGGGGGGCCGAATAACACCTGGAGCGGTCCTTCCACTGGCTCAACCCAGAGCCCCCTACGTTGCCCAACACCCCCAGCGTGGGCCCAGGTCTGGGCCTGGAGCTCAAGTCCCAGCAGGGATTACAAACACGGTGACAACTTTCTAACAGAAGAGGAAGAGGAGACGGGGAAGTGGACAGAAGCCTAGTGGGGGCGGGGGCAAGTGGGCAGTGGTCACCAGGGAGGATGAGGGGTGGGACCCAGATCAGCCCAGGGTGGCAAAATTCAAAAAACCAAAAAAAGCAAGACATCTAGTTAAATCTGAATTTCAGGTAAACCCCTGCTCCCCCCTCCCCCCCAAAAAAACTGTAAGTAGATGAATTCTTATACCAAAAAATAATATATATATATATATATTTTTTTTTTTTTTTTTTTTCTGATCGGAAAGTTAATTTACCAGGTGTCTGTCTTGTCTGGCGGGACCATCCCCTCCTTGCCTGCACCCACTGCCCACCCCCCCACACCCCCCCGCCCCCCGCCAGACCCAAGGACAGCTGCTCACCATGCACTTTCACTTCTGCTTGCTCAATGACCCAGGGCCCGGCGGGAGTGCCCCCACTTCCCCACCCACAGCAGACCCCAGGCCAGACGCGGCCTTGCCCTCCCCCACCCAGAGGAGACCCCTCAGGCTCCAGACAGTCAGAGCCCCGCCCCAGGTGGAGAGGAGGGGCCAGGTGGGCGGGGCCCTAGGAGAGCGAGTCTGCGCTGCTCTAGTGATGGGCTGCAGTCCCTGGGCTCAACTTCCGCCAGAGCTTCCCCTTCTGCCCTCCCTGATCAGCACAGCACGAGGGGAGAAGGAGCCTCTAGCAGGTCCCAGTGCCTCCCAAGGCCGAGATGCTACTCCTGCCGCCACTGCTGTCCTTGTTGTTGGGTGGTGAGTGGCAGGGGACTGGAGGGACCCGGGCGGGCCGGGACTGGGATTGCAGGTTGAGCCTCTGTCTCCCCTCAGGGTCCCAGGCTCAGCTAGAGAAGTACTGGCTGCAGGTGCAGGAGTCGGTGTCGGTGCAGGAGGGCCTGTGTGTGCTGGTGTCCTGCTCCTTCTCCTACCCCAGGGACGACCCCAGAACTGCTTCTAACCCGGCTTATGGATACTGGTTCGAAGAAGGGACCAACACGAACAAGGGGGATCCAGTGGCCACAAACAACCCACATCGAAGGGTGCAATCTAGGACCCAAGGCCGATTCCAGCTCATGGGGGACCCCAACAGAGATGACTGCTCCCTGATGATCAAAGACGCACACAGATGGGACAGGGCGGCCTACTTCTTCCGCGTGGAGAGAGGACCCATAGTGAAATTTAATTTCCAGAAAAAGTTCTCTCTGGAAGTGATAGGTAGGAGATGTGGTGGGGACCCCTTGCCTTTCATGCTAGGGATGAACTGCGGGCGACGGCCCCAGGACCTGAGCTGGGTGGGCTCTCAGGGACACACTCCAGACAACTAGGATTGGCCCCCTCTCTCCAGACCTAACTCAGAAGCCAGACGTCTTCATTCCCGAGACCCTGGAGCCCGGGCAGCCTGTGAGCGTTCTCTGTGTGTTTAACCAAGCGTTTGAGCAATGCCCGGCCCCTTCTTTCTCCTGGACCACGGCTGCCATCCCCTCCCAAAGAACAAGGCCACCAACCTCCCACTCCTCAGTGCTCAGCCTCACCCCACAGCCCCAGGACCACGGCACTACGCTTACCTGTCGAGTGGACTTCGGCAGACAAGGCGTCAGCACACACAGGACCGTCCAACTGAGTGTGGCCTGTGAGTGTGAATTTGCACGCTTTGGGGTCAGGTGGAGAAGCCTGCAGCTCCATGGTCTAAAGAGTCCACAGAGAGCAAGGTGCAGTGTCCCAGGTGTTGCCTGGGAGGGGCTGGGGCCTTTGGTGGCCCTTGGTCTCTTGTCCTTGTGGGAATGGTCACACTCTCTCTTCCAAGGGAGTCCTTTCTTGTTGTGAGGAGCAAACCCCCCCTGAAGTCAGCTCCCACTCTTGTTGCAGATGCCCCTCAAGAACCTGTCATCCGAGTTCTCCACAACAATGCATCCGGTACTGAGGGCCCGCGGGCTGGCTGGGTCAGTCCTCTCTGGGAAGGGACGAGGCTTGGCGGGAGGGGAGGCCTTTCTGCAGCTCTTCTCTGTCTGTCCCTCTCCAGCCCCAGTGGCCCAGGGAAAATTCTCACATCTGGAAGTCCAGAAAGGCCAGTTCCTGCGGCTCCTCTGTGCTGCTGACAGCCATCCCCCGGCCACTCTGAGCTGGGTCCTGGAGGATAGAGTCCTCTCCTGGTCCTTCCCCTTGGGCCCCAGAACCCTGGAGCTGCAGCTGCCCGTGGTGAAGCCTGGAGATTCGGGGCTCTACACCTGCCGAGCAGAGAACAGGCTGGGCTCCCAACAGGGCACCCTGGACCTCTCTGTGCAGTGTGAGTGAGACCAGAAGGTCCCTGGGAGGGAGCAGAGGAGGGCAGGAGCCATGACAGGGTCTCAGAGCTCTGGGGGGCCTAGAACCCCAGGGCCCTGGCACCAGGCTTCTGTCCTGCTAGACCATTGGGCAGTCAGTGTGGGGACCCAGCACGTGAGTCTGCCTCCCACCGCCTCAGTGTCCTGGGCTGGATCCTCTGCCCAGAGGGAAGCCCCAGCCCACCTGGAGCTGGTTCCTGTCTCCATTGCAGATCCTCCAGAGGACCTGAGGGTGACGGTTTCCCAAGAAAATAGGACAGGTAGGAAGGGCAGAGAGGAAGCAGGGCCTCTGGGTGCCCCGTTGCGGGCCCAGGAGACGGGGCCACAGGTCAGTTCTGCCTCTTCCCTTCCCTAGTCACGGAAGTCATCAGGAATGGCACGTCCTTCCCAGTCCTGGAGGGCCAAAGCCTGCGCCTGGTCTGTGTCACCCACAGCAACCCCCCAGCCAGGCTGAGCTGGACCTGGGGGACGCAGGCCCTGAGCCCTGAGTGGCTTTCCGACGCTGGGGTCCTGGAGCTGCCCCGGGTGCAGACAGAGCATGGAGGAGAGTTCACCTGCCATGCCCGCAGCCCCCTGGGCTCCCAGAACCTCTCCCTGAGCCTCTCTGTGCACTGTGAGTGCGGGAGGGGAGGGAGGGCACGCCTGGGGTCGGGACGAGGTGGCATCTGCTGACCCTTCTCCTCGCTCCTCAGACCCCCCACGGCTGCTGGGACCCTCCTGCTCCTGGGAGGCCCAGGCTCTGCTCTGCAGCTGCTCCTCCCGGGCCTGGCCGGCCCCCGCCCTGCACTGGCGGCTGGGGGAGGGGCTGCTGGAGGGGAACAGCAGCAATGCCTCCCTCGGGGTCACCTCCAGCTCCGCGGGGCCCTGGGCCAACAGCTCCCTGAGCCTCCACGAGGCGCTCAGCTCCGACCTCAGGCTGAGCTGTGAGGCCCAGAACGCCCATGGCACCCAGAGCGCCACCGTCCTGCTGCTGCCAGGTCAGGGGGAGGTGGCTGGGTGGGGCAGGCGCAGGGTCCCGCGGTGGGCGCAGGAGCTGGGGAGCTGGGAGGACCCGGGGACAGTGAGCGGCCGGCCCTCTCTTTGTGCAGGCGAGGCGTCTGTCCCCACTGCGTTCTCCCGCGGAGTGTTTCTGGGAATCGGCGTCACCACGGTCCTCTCCCTCTGCATCATCCTGGCCATGTGAGTGGGAGCAGGAGCGCCCGGGCCTGGGGCTGGGGAAGGGCAGGGGCAACAGCAGGGTCAGGCCAGGGTCGCTTCCCGCAGTGTGAAGACTCTGAGGAAGGCGCCACCCCAGACGGGGGCCAGGCCCAAGGTGTCCCGCAGCAGCACCATCCTGGAGTACATCAACGTGGTCCCCAAGGCCGCCCGCAGGGTGAGTGGCCATGCTGCTGCCAGTCATTTCTATCTCTGGTCAGGCGTCCCCCTCTTGTCCTGCCCCCGCCGTTGCCTGGTAGACTTCAGGGTGGACAAAGAATCAAGTGTGGAGTTCAAATTCACCTCACCAGCCTTCATTTCTGTGGCTTCTTCCTTGCACTCCACAGCCACACCCTTTTCACGGCATCTCCACACTGATGCCTGGTGGGCATCTCACACCTAGCCTGCCCCAAACCAGCTTCTGACCACTCTCCATATTGCCTCCCCCTCCATCCCCACCTTAGCCAACACCACACCTGCCCAGACAAGTCCAAAGCCCCAGAACCATCTTCCAGGCCTCTCTGCACTCCCCACAACCAACCCGGCAGCAAGTCCCCTCAACACACACCCCCACCGCTCCCCCCAACACTGCTGCAGCCCATGCACTGACTCCTTCCCCAGACACCACAGCCACCGTCTGCAGGCCCACTCCACGCACTCTGCCCCACCCCATGACATCCTGCAAGCAGTAAGCACATCCCACGGAACACTACTCAGCACCCAGAGGAACTTGCTTCTGAAGCACGCAACAAGTTGGACAGGTCTTAGGGACAAAAAAAAAAAAAAATGTGAAAAAGGCCAGTCTCATTCAATGTTCATCCCATTGTCAAATTGATGAGATTACAGAGGTGGAGAACAGGGGAGGAATAGGGCTGGGCCCTGAGCAGGACTCGGAAGGACAGCAAGAGGAGCGCGCTGGTGACATGCAGTCCTGGGTCTCCGCTGCACTGGTCCCGCAGGCCTACCTGTGTGTACTAGTCTGTGGAGCTGCTGTAACAAAGAACCCCGGAACAGGCAGCTTAAACAACACAAATCTGTTCTGTCACACTTCTGGCCGTTAGAAGTCCCTGATAAATGCAGGCAGGGCTTGTCTCTCCTGAGAACCCTCCTTGGCTTGTTCAGCCGTCTCCTCCCTGGGCCTTCCCCTGGTCTTTCCTCCATGTGCATTTGTGATCCGCAGTCTTACGGGACTAGGGCCCATTCACTCCACCTCATGTTACCTTAATTACCTCTTTAAAGACCCTGTCTCCAAACACAGTCACATTCTGAGATATTAGGAATCAGGCCTTCAGCATATGAATGTGGAAGAGACTCCGCGCAGCCCACAGCACCAGCCAGGCGATACCATCACACAGAACACTCCACACTCATTGTACCACAGTCAGCTTCCTTGTCTGGATGCTGCCCCACAAACTCTGCAAGATGTAACCACAGGAAAACCAGGCGAAGGGCCTGTGGGACCTCCCTGTGCTATTTTTGCAACTTCCTCTGACTCTATAATATATAAGATATAAATTTAAATAAATCCATAAATCAAAATATCTCACTTTCCAAGCGACTTCCAGCCAGACTTTGAGTAAATCCAAAGTCCTCCCCAGGTGTGCAAGGCCCTTGCTGACCTGGCTCCCCACCTGTCTCTCCAGACTCACCTGCTTTACCCACGGGGCTTGCTCTTCCTCACACTCGGACGCCACTCTCTGCCCAGCCCTCCAGACCTAATCGTGTTGTCACAAGTGGCAGGGCTCCTCCCCTTTGTGGCCGAGTAAGATCACTGTATCTGCCACGTGTGCTCTACCTGTTCATCCATCCAGGGACTCCCAGGTCGACCCCTTTCTCAGCCACCGGTGAATACAGCAGGCGTGTCTTTGGGATGGTGCTTCCTCTTCCTGGACACCCTAATAGTGACCCCACCTTCCTTTCCACTGTCTTCTCCCTCTGCTTGAATTTCTCATGAATTCATTATCTCACTTTTGCTTGTTTAGTGTTTGTTCTGGCCCCCAAGATGGAATGCGGGCTCAGCAGGGCAGGACGCTGCGTCACTCCCAGACCTGACCCCTTCCTCGTCAGCACCTGGCACGAGGTAGGCCTCAGCATTTGTTGTTGTCTTTTCAGGCTCAGGATCAGAAGGCCACGCCAAGCAGCCCTTCTTGGACCCCCTCTCCAGGCACTCACTCCCCAGAACCAAAGAAGAATCCAGAGGAGCTGTATTCTGTTCCCCTCAGTTGCTCAAAACCCAGATCGTCCACCCAAGCTCTGGACCCCAAGAATGACCCCGAGGAGCTCCACTATGCTACTCTCACCTTCCCGGGCCACAGACCGTGGGCCACCCAGATGCCCAAAGACACCCACACAGATTACGAGGAAATCAAGTTCCACTGAGGGCTGTTGGGCTTTAGGGTTAGGACCTCAACCGGGGAGAAAGGCAGGCAATAAAGAGGCTCAAGGAACAGGGTCCTAAGTCTCTTATTTCAAGAAAATCCTCCCAGATAGGTGGCCCCATCCCAGGCCCAGGCTGTTGGAAACAGCTTAACAAATCTGTCCCCACTGGCCTTCTCTGAATACAGTGTTTAGAGAAGCCAACTCGACGTTTCTCATATACATGCAGGACCATCCTGGCTGAGCACTTCAATCTCACAGACTCTGACAGGTGGGGCCTCTGGAGGTAGCTGCTGTGACTTGGACATGGTTTGAGTGTGTGTCCTTCAAGGGCATGTGCGCTGGATTCTGGGTCTCCAGTGTGGCCCTGTTGAGGGGTGGAACCTGCAGGTGGCGGGGCCCAGGGGAGGGTGGCTAGGTGGGCAGCATCAGCCTTGGAAGGGATTGATGCCTACCTCGCAGGGTGGCTTTACTCTCAAGAGACGAGTTTGTGAGCCCAGCTTTCTCCACTGTCTGGCTTCCTGTCTTGCCACATGACCTGCTTCTCTCACTTCCACCATGGTGCCAGCCGCCATGTTGGGATGTAGCCACAGGGCCTTTACCAAAGCTAAAAGGTGCCCGGGACTCCACCCTCAAACCTCCAGAACATCACATTGTAAGCCAATCACTTATAGCTGTATCCTTCAGTAAAAACTGTGTAAGACAGAGGGTATCTTCGTTTGAAGATATATGAAACTCAAGAGAGGTCAACTTCAACTAGCTTGTCTGAAGCCACACAGGAGCCAAGAGCAGAACCAACCGGGAGTCCAGTTCATGGCTCTTGACTCCAAATCCACAGCTTTCCCCACTGTTTCACTATCTCTCCTGCAGGGGGCGCTCCTGAGTGAAAAGCAGCCCAGAGGGCCCCAGGCAGACAGGGTCAAGATGCTCAACAGCTGGGAAAGGGTTACAAAAGAAGACATCTAATTTCAAAAATCAACCACTTAGGAGGTGAGAAAAAGCTGGTCGGGGATTCACTGACGTTTCCAAGTTTAGGTAGAGGAATGATGTCAGTAAGCAATCTTTCTCTTGGGTCAGAGCAGAGAATAGCAGATCACGTTCAAAGATAACATCCACTTCAGCCCGATCCTCTCAAACCCAGAGCTATGGATTTGTGGAAATTTGTATAATAGTGGTTAACATATATTGAGTGCTTATTATCTTCCAAATGCTGCTTTTCAGTGCTTATATTATCCAATTTAATACTTGCAAAAAAAAAGTTAAAGGGATTTTTGACCAAAGAACAGGGAAATCTCCCTTTATCTTACCAAGCCCCAACTAACTGAGTCTTTTTATTTAAAAAGAAAAAACAAGAAAAGGGTCAGAACTTTAAGAAACAGGTATTTGTCCAGAATCTGTGTTGAAACCTCTTAATTTGTCTACCTAACATAATATTTGATAGATACCAGGATTTTTTTTTTGACACTGGTTTCTTAGCAATTACTGAAAAGAGTTTGTTATCTAATTGTTTATCTCACCACCCACCCACTCTTAAGGAGGCGGGGAGGCCATAACCCTGGCCAGCCCCACAGACAGAGCTTATCACTGCTTCCTCCCTAGATGAGGTGACCAGACAGCCTTTCTATCTATCAGGTGACTGATAGTCCATGATTGACAGTCCTGTGCTCAGCCACACTCCACCTCATCAGAGGCACGAAGAGGCAGGTTCTAATATAAACAGTATATTTACTAATATTAATATTACAAAGAAGTTAATGTGTAAAAATTCTTATGACATAGAACCACAAGAAAATCAAGGAACTCATAATTTTATTCAGTAGTCATAGCTCATTCAAAAAGACTCTCTTAGCCCTTGGTGGTATAGACCTAGAATCCCTGCAACTTGGGAGGTTAAGGCAGGAGGATTACAGGTTTGAGGCTAGCTTCAGCAATTTAGTGAAGTCCTAAGAAACTTAGACCCTATCTCAAAATTTAAAAAAAAAAAAAAAAAACAACTTCTTGGTGGTTCCAAGATCTACTAAGGATAGTTTAATAAACCAGTCTGGTTCCCAGGTGAGAGGTGAGGAGCTTCACAATGGGTTTTCTTATTTCTCTGTCTTCCAGGGGAGTATACTGAGGCGTGAGAGATGATAGGCCATTAGTAAAGTTAATCCTAGAAAATCTGAGCCTAGAGCCCAGGTTCTTAAAGTTGACACTGTGTTGGTCTCCTCTGGATTGTTGTCCAGAAAGTTCCTGTTACAGTGGTGTGCTAGCCAGGCACAGTGGCACACACGTGTGATCTCAGCAACTTGGGAGGCTCAGGCAGGAAGATCAAAAGTTCAAAGCTAACCTCAGCAAATTAGCAAGGCCCTAAGCAAATTAGCAAGACCATAACCAAATTAGCTACAAGGAGTGCAGTTGACCCCCAGAAGCCAGTGTGTGTAGGGTGACAGCATTACAGAAGCATCCTGTGGGGTCACCCCCACAACCACCTCATTTTATAGATGAGGTTAAAGAGGGACAAGGTTTGGCTTAAGGTCGTACAGCTAAACAGCATACTTGGGGTCCACCTCAGATAGCCCTTCCAGTGGATGATCATTGCAGGCTGAGCAGTTCCCTTTAACTAAGCTTAGAGTCAGGTGGGTGCTAGAGGGTCGTGAGAAAAAGGAGAACAAGCCACAAAAAGGACGAGAGATTCTGTTCTCTATCTACCACCGAATCCTGCCATGACAGTAATCCTTGACCATCTGTTTGACCTTGGAAATTACAAGACTGTGTTGCTAGCACAAGTTTGACCAAGGGTCAGTAACTTCAAAATATGTGTGTGTTAAGCTCCTGACTTGTGCAATTACGGCTTGGGACTTGGAGGGAGGGTGGCATTTGGCCAACACTCATGGGGAAAGGCAATGTTGTGTACATGAAGGAAAAAACAATACTAGGCTTGGAGTCAGAAGACCCAGCTTGGACTTTGGGAACTGCCAGATACTCTCTTGAACCAATTAATCAAGATCATTAGCTCTAGGAAATATAAGGATAAAACAGTTCTGCTTCGCTAATCACTGATTAGATCACGCTGTGAAAACTTTTTCTCATCCCTTAACGATGTCTTAGACATTATATAACTCCCTAGTCACGTTCTGATTATTAAAACTCTGCCTGAGGCAGGCATAGTGGCACATACCTAAAACACCAATGATTCAGGAGGCTGAGACAGGAGGATCACAAGTTTGAGGCCACCTCAACAACTTAGCTGGGCCCTGAGCAACTTATCAAAATCCTGTCTGAAAATAAAAAATATAAAGTGCTGAGGATGTGGCTCAGTGGTTAAGCAGCTTTGGGTTCAATCCCCAGTGCCAAAAAATAAAATACAACTCAGTCTAATCTTAAATCTTAACCCCCAAATTGAGTTTAAATCCCATCACCTCACCTCTCCTCCTTGTCTGGTGTAGGTTCCAACTGGCACCTGACCCCAGGAGATGACAGGTAGAACTTTGGCTCTAAGATCCTTTTTTGCCATTCCCACTTTATGATCTTGTTTCTCCAAGGTATTAGGGCCCAAAAGAGGGACAACTAATGGGACTTTTAGCCTAACTGGTCACAGCAGTGGTCTCTGATGGCCAAAGCTGTGATCTGTGTCTAAATCCAGCTGGCCCTCTGCAGGGTGGGTCTCCAAAACTCTGGTTCTCATGGAGCAAAAGCATAAGGACTTGGGCAGACCCAGTGAGGTTTCGTAATTCCTCCGTCTTTTGACATGAGAGTAGTGGTCTCCACCTCCTTCCACACCTTCCCCAGTTTAACTGCTGGAAGATGACACATGGCTTCTTGAGACCTTTTTGGTGAGATTCTCTCTAGAGAGCTGAAGCTTGGTGCCCACTCAACCTGATATACACTGCCTGTGTCTCCCCCAAATTTTGTGTTGAAAATCTAACCCCTAATGTAGGGGCTGGGTGTGGTGGCACACACCTGTAATCCCATGCTCGGGAGGCTGAGGCAGAAGGATTGCTAGTTGGAGGCCTACTTCATAGCATCTTAGCCCTAAGCAACTTAGTGAGAGCCTGTCTCAATAAGGGCTGGAGATGTGGCTCAGTGGTTAAGCACCCCTGAGTTCAATCACCAGTGCTCCTCCCCCCAAAAAAAGAAAGAAAAAGAAAATAATCCTAACCCTTAATGATGCAGACTTTGAAGGTAATCAGGTCCTGAGGGTGGAGCCTTCGTGAATGGGATCAGTGTCCTCTTAAAAGAAACCCCAGAGTGCTTTCCCCTTTCACCATGCGAGGTCACAGAAGGCAACATCTGTGACCTAGGAAGTGGGACCACATCACACATTGGACCTGCCTGCATCTTGATTTGGGCTTCCAGCCACCAGCACTAAGAAAGAAATTTCTGTCATTCGTGAGTCACCCAGATGGTGGTGTTCTGTCAAATGGACTGACAACCTCTGAAGCAGGAAAACTTAGTCAGCCAACTCCTGTCCCACTCTAGAAGAGCTGAACAGAACATCTGCAACCCTCACGGTGGACCTGGGGAGGCCGCGAAGACCCTCCCCAGTGGAGACTCTGCCCTGCACCAACAGCCTCCAGCTCTAGAGGGCACCATGGCTACTTCTGTTTCAGACCTCTCTATCTGACTGCCCTCAGCACCTCACCAGGTCCAAACCAGCCATCCTCCTGCACCACCAACGACCTGCAAAGCACAAAGCACCCCACTCCGCCATCTCCCGCAGACCCCCATACTCCAACTTTTAGGGACAACTTTGACTTGTCCCTCACTCCCCACTCCAACAATCTCAGCTATTTTTTGTCCTAAATATCAGGTGGGGCTGCCTCCTCTAGCTTCCCTGTGACTATTGATTTTGATAACCACATTCTGCCACTTGGAGTGTGCGTGTGTGTAAGTGGATGTTAAAAAGCATAGGTGCCCATGTGCCACTGATGGGCTGCTCACTGAGAAAGAGCTTCAGGCTGGGCCTGGTAAATACTCTGTCGTGTTCTCAAATCAACAACACTGAAACAAGTGTTATTAGCTAGCCCCACAGTGAAACTAAAGCTCAGAGAGGCTCAATAACTTGCCCTAGGTGACACAGCTTTTCAGG